TGCCGCGCTGGCAGCCCTGTAGCTTCAGCAGGGACCGAGGGTGCCGGGCGCCTGCCTGCAAGGGAAGTAGGGCAGAGCGTGCCTCGGGGCAAGCATGTGCTGGGAAGCCATGGGAGGAGAAACAATAAAAAGGACACATGTCTAAGGGCACACCGCTACTTGAGGAACATGCGTATAATGCGTGTGGGTGGGCGGGCGTCCTCCTGCATCCAGGGAGGGTCTGCAGCACACAGGAGAGGCGTCCGCGGGCGCAGCAGAGCAGGGCACCTCCGTACCGGGTTGGGCTGGGTGCTCTGCTGAGGCAGGGAAATGTGAGCTGGAAAGTCTCGGCAGGGTGCCGCAACATAAATCAGAACAGCCCAGGTGCAAGAGGAGGGATTTCGGCACAGCCCCTACACGCGTGGCTTGCGGAGGGCTTGGGACACAAGCGCTGGTGGACACAGTGAGGAGCAAGTGACTGTCCCATCCTCCACCAGCACCTCCGCTCCTTTGGCTCTGCAATTTCTGGTTTCCTTCCCAGGTTTTAGCCAAGAATGAGGGAAGGAGATTTCAAGATGCTTTCAGACCATAAACCCAAGAAGCCTGAAGCTCCAGCTCCATGGCCCAGTGTCCTTAGGCTCCCCCATCGCCAGCATCGACACAAAACAGAGATAAACCACAGCACTGTGAAAGTGAGAACAGGAAAAGGCAGGCAAGGAGACCTGCTCCTCTATCTCCTTGGCCAATCTTACCTTTCACATCAAGTTTGCAGTCTACTGAGGCTTCCCCCAAGGGGTTCACAGCTTTGCAGGTGTAGATGCCCCCATCAAAAGGGCTGGGCTTGCGGATTTCCAGGGAGCAGACACCCTGCTCAATCATCGCTATGTATTTGGGGTCTTCCCGTATCTCCATTTGATTTTTCATCCAGATGATTTTGGGCTGGAAGGCAGCAGGATTTATTTATTTGTTTAAAGAAGGGAGAGAAATGAGAAATCTAACTGGCCCCAAAATGCAGCCACCTCCCTCTGCCTTTGCCTTGGCCCTGACTGAAACTGGTGGCCATGGTAGGATTCACAGTCAGAAGCAATTTGAAGAGCTAGGTCTCCCATTCTTGAGCCCTAATCACTGCCCCGGACCTCCTCCTCCAGTGCAAAAGACAACAAGACATGGCTTGAATTAAGACCAGTCTCCCATCTCCATGCAGAAACACCCTAAACTTGCCCCAGTTTGACTCAGAGGGCAGCCGCAGCCCCCTAACCTCATCCAACCCTATTCCAACATGACCAACTGTCTCCCAACACCTCCAGTCACCTTGCAAAAACCCCACTGCTGGCTGCCCACACACAGAGGTGATGCTGTCCGTGGAGGAACCACTGACCTGGGGGAAGCCCCGGACACAGCAGAAGAGATGTGTGCTGTAGCCCCGCGTGGTGGTTCGGTCTGTCAGGGGCTGAGTGAACTTTGGAGCCTCCATCATGTCCCGTTGGGGGATCTTCTCTAGCTGGTAAGCAGTTTCTAATAAAATAATTAATTCTAGGTTGAGGCAGAGCTCGGACTCCTGGGCTGACCAGCATATGGTTATGGGAACTCAGGCCAAGGTACCCCAAAATACTTCTGCTCCTTCACAAAATAAGCCAGACAGCATCTAGCCTGACCTGAGGACCTGGCTCAGACCAGCCCTGTCTGTAAGCCCCTTCTCATCCAACCATGCCACATTAGTGCCCAGTCCCAGCAGGGGACGGGGAGATGCCTGTCTGCAACCAACACCATGATGCGTGCTATGTGCAGCATGTCAGATCCAGGCCAGGCACCTCTCTGGATCTCCTACTCCGTCTCCAAAATTGAGTGCACAGAAATCGGAGCTAGAGGGAAGCTCTGCAGGTGGCAGAGACCCCAACTCACTATGTGCTACCAGGGAGCGGGATGGAAATAGAAGGAGGGAGAGCGGGACTGAGGGATGCTGGATTAGAGATTTTGCCCTGAGATGGACCACTGCAGGGGTCCCTTCTTCTGCTTGTCCTGAGCTGCGGGGCCAAAGCCAGGGCTGTTCCTCACACCTCCTGGCTCCTGCTTCGATCTCACCCCAGGGATGTCCTGATGCCTCCCATGCCCTGATCCCTCCCAGAGGGCTGACCATGGCACAAACTTTCCCCAAAGGAGAAAAGGGGTGTAGAAGGAGGACAGAGGACCTCTGGACCTCTGCCTTGGGGATGCATGGCCTCACCCTGCAGGGCTCACCCTGGGGAGCAGCCCAGCAGCATCACCACACCACCAAGGAAGCCCCACTAGCCCCAACGGGAACAGGACCCCTCTTGCCCAGCCCCCACCCCCAACCCCCAGGCCAGGGCATTGTCCCCACTTGTCTTCTTGATGTGGGCCACCCCAGAGGTGACGGCTGCTTTTTCGCTCAGCCCGCAGGCGTTTTCCGTGAACACGCGGAAGGAGTAGGTATTGCCAATGATGAGGTCGGAGATAGTGCAGCTGGTGCGGGTGCAGCGCTCCAGCACTGTGAACCATTTCTGGGAGTTAAAAAAAGAGTGATGAGGAAAGGCAAGTTGTCCAAGGGTGGAGAAGGTGTGGGGGGAGACAGGGGTGTGCAGCTCCCCCTCTCCCGTCAGGGCATCCCCAGCACCAGGGCATGGGAGGCCCAGGAGTGCCCAGACTCACCCCACTCTTCTTGTCTGACTTCTGCACCATGTAGCCCTTGATCTCGGAGTTCCCGTTATCCGCGGGGGGGGTCCACTCCAGGGCCACATTAAAGCCCCACACATCCACCAGCTTCAGGTTCTGGGGTGGGCCCGGTGGCTCTGCGAATACAAACCCTCACAGGGTGGCATCCTAATTTGCTCCCCCCAGATTCTGCACCTTGACCATCCCATGCACCCCAGCCATCCCGTGCACCTCGCTTCTAATCGCTGCTCACGCTGTCGCAGCACACAAGGGATGAGAAGCTGCGATGGGCATGGGCTGGCAGACACCCTGCATCCCCAACCAGAGGAGTTCACCTCCATGATCCTGGAGAAGATCCCACTGGAAGAGGGACCCCAGGGTCCCCTGCCTTGTCACCGACCCTATCCCATCCCACCCAGAACAGGAGCTACCCCCAACCAAGGCCAGAAATGAACCCGGGGGCCCCCTCCCCAGCCTTACCAATCACTTGGATATCCAGGGTAGCCTTGTCCTCTGCTCCGTTTATCCGCACGGCGAGCTCATATTTGCCCGAGTCGCTGCGCTGCGCATTGCGGATGTAGAAGATGGTGTCCTTCGCTGTGTTGCGGATGTTGATGCGGCTGGTGTCCAGGGGCTGGTTACCCTTGGTCCAGATCACCTCAGGCTGTGGTTTTCCCTGGAGTAACCCGCACAGGTAGGTTAGGAGCCACCCGAGTGCAGGGTCCCAGCTGGTCCTGCTGGGAAGGGCGGGTGGGCAGAGCCACCCTGCTTTGTCCAGGCTGCAGAGGCCTGGATACAGCCTCCCATCCAGCAGTCCCCAGGGAATAAAGAGCCGATCCCTGCCAGCCCCGCTGACGGGAAGCCATCAGGCTCCAGGGATAATGCTGGGACATGCTGGTCACCCAAAGTCCTCATGGAGCAAGCCCAGCTTTGCTTGCCCAGGGCTTTGCAGGCAGAGCTGTGCTCCTGTTGCCCAGGTTCAAGCCTAGCAGCAGAGGCTTGAATTCAGCATCCAGGGCTGATCCATGCCTGGAGCATGGCCAGCGCAGGCTCCCATCCACTATGAGGCATGGCGTGGACACGTCCCTCATCGCAGGGGCAGCTTTCTGCCTCTTGTTTCCCCCAGCATGTTTCAGGGCTGGTTTTCTCCGTACCAGATGCTGTGGTGGAGATGCTTTGGGGATGCCCCAGACAGTATGTGGTAGATCAGCCAAGGAGAGGAACTCCAGCTTGGGCCACCAGTGCCAGCATCGCTTCTCCCATCATGCAGCAGCTGCTCTCCCCAAGGAGACACCCACTGTTGTGCTGTGGGGTCCTGTGGTATGTGGCCAGATCCCTGCCAGGCTTGGCCAGGGCCATGAGCTGAAGAGGGCTCATGGGCTGAGACAGCAGCAATAGCTAGCCCATGCCCTCGTGTGTTTGGGGTTGTCCCATTGCCAACACTATCAATAAAGACATCGCAGGAAAAAAATGGGAGCTAGGCAGGAATGGGAGTGGGGTTCCCATCCCATGTCCCACCCTCAGCCCATGAGACATGGGGATCAGGACAAGTCAGCCCACGGTTGGCCCCAGGCATATCATGGTGGCTAGAAAAGTCGCTGCAGAAGCTAACCTGCAGTGAAAAAGCCTGGGGGATTAAATCCAAAATTTCCCACCTACCTGGAAAGGGATCATGATGTTCACAGCATCCCCAACATGCCTGACGTAAGTCTGCCGCAGGTGACGGGGCATGCGGATCCTCGGGAGCTCTGGGGACCAGAGAGTCATGCTGTGGGACCAAGGAAATCATAGCCCCCAACTGGCTGACTCACCCCACAGATCTTCCTGCTTGGCCATCAGGATATTCCACCGAGAAACACGGCCACCTCTTCCCTGTCATTTCCTGGATGGTGCTTGCTACCCTGCAGGGCCATGCCAGCACCCCATTGCCTGCACTCCAAAATTATACCCACCCTTGAGATACCAGGTCACCACCCAACAGCACCACCACGATGGACCATTCACTCCCTTCACTATAGCCAGGCCATGGAGACCAGCACGGGCTTAACCAGAAGAACCACGGCACAGCCTGCATGACATGATTCTACGATAGCAAGGCAGGGGCCGGCATCTCCCAGTTCAGAAATATTTCTCTCCCAGCTCAGAGCAGACTTTCTAGAGGCACGCAACCCAGCTTCCAGCAAGGACAAGGCTCGCCAGACCTCCACCTTCGCTGTGCGCTCAAGGCCGTCGAGAGACCAAGGTGGTGCATAGTTACTCACCGCAGAGCTGTGAAAGCCCCAGGCTTAAAACGAAAGCTAATGTCCCCAAGGGAACATAACAAAGATGATAAGCAAAAAACCCACTGGGGAATGCTGATAGAGCGTGTGTCTCCTTCCCGGGGTGAAAATAGCAGCCGTGTAACCCTACCGGCTCGGTGCCACTCGGTGATCCTTCTGGAGAGGTTTTGGGTTTACGTGAGCCCCTCATAAAAGAGCTGTGTGTCTCTGCCCGGATTAAACGTGCCGGAGCTTAGCTCTGAGGAGGGGGCACGGCCAGAATTAAACCAGGACTGAGCGATGCCTAAACAGCTGTGAGGGTGAAACGCCGGCGGTGGGCTGGGGAGGGCAGGGAGATGCCCAGGGGTCCCAGATGGCCCCACTGACAGCTGAGACGGTCTCTGCTCCACTCACGCTGTTATTCGCTCTGGGGATCCGTGCATGGATGCCGCCACTTGGGCTCATCAGTCTCAGCAAGGCAGAGAAACCTGACCTCGAAGGAGGAATGTTAATTCATGGGTGTTTTCCCCAGCTCACTCGTGCTTTGCTCAGCCGGAGAGGGCTGGCCGAGGTCGGTGGCCCAAGTGACATGCTGCCGCGGGTGGGAATGCATTTTTCCTGACCCAGCTCCCTATAAAACATGACTCCCACACCAAATCGTCACCTGGTTTCTCCCTGTCTCTCTCCACTTCCCAAACCCACTCGTCCCACCTGTTTTTTAAACTCTCTGCCGTCTGTATCGCTGCTATTTAAAATCCCCTGTGATGCTACAGATGAACCCATGAGATGTACAAAATGTGGTCCCAAATGAGATGTGAAGACCAGAAGGTAACAGATGGGGCAGAGAGGAGCGGACACAGGCGCCCAACACACACCATCACGGCAGGGGGGGACATGGGGCAGCAGAGGGACCTTGAGGGCTAACTTGTCCCTCAGCAAAGCCAAGCAGTGGGCACAGGGATGTACTTCAAATGAAATGCAAAAGTAGGCAAGTGCTGTTTGCTGATGAAGAGTTTCGGTTAGCAAAAAGGAAAGAAGAAAAAAACCACTAGCGTGGAGCAAGGGCAAGTTGTGCATTTCAGCTCTTTGGGTTTTACACCTCTCAGCCCACACACATGGTTGGCACAAAGCTCAGGTAGCAGGGACAGGGGGGTTGGCCTGGAAGGTGCAACATGGGACGAGAAGTGGGAAACACGAGCTGTGTATTTGGCATCTCATGCCAGTCCCCCGTGCCTCAGTCTCCCCAGTCCCACAAGGGATGGTGGGATGCCTTTGAGATCTGGAGGTGAACACAGCAGCAGACATCAACCACTGACCCATGTCCACCTCCTCCAAGCGGACTGAGAGGATGGACCCTGCAGGACGCTTTCCAGATGCTGACAGCCTTCTCCAAGCCTTTTCCTTTGAAAAGCTGATGGTTGCTGGAAAAACTTTTGTTGTTGTTATTATTACTATTTTTAAGCAGCTGAAAAATCTGATGTGATCTTTGAGTAATAGGAAAACTTGCACATTAATAATTCCTTATAAAGGGAAAATAAGTCTATATTTGCTGTTTGATAAATGAAAACCAGCCTTGCAATCATACATCAGCCTCAGCACATTCGCAGCACCCCGGGAAGAATGCGAGTCTTGCTAAGCATGGGAGCAAGCCATTCATTAGCGAGTTCAGCATGATTAAAGTTCCCATGCTCCACAGTACCAGCTCTTGACTTTCCTTAGCTAAATAAACAAAGCGGTTCGACGTGCATGTGATGGCACATTAGAAGCACATGAGCAAGGAGAGGAGATGTTCTGAAACTGAGACTGATTCTGAGCTCTTGCGAAGAAACAGGAAAACGTGGCTCCGCATTTTGACTCCTTCACCGCCAAAGCCTCACCATCTGCAAGGTCAGCGTCTTGAGGTTGGCAAGCTACTCCATCCCACCCCAAGGGACGCAGTTATTGAGAATAACATCTTGGTCAAAGGTTGATTGCGAACGCCTGAGGGGGAAGAGGTTGCTCAGGCTGTAGGAATGGACTGTGATTTCTCTGTACTGCTGGCAAAGCACATGGGAATTATGCACGGCAGGAGCAGTACTTACGGAGGATCTCTCTGATGAGGACTGGCTGCTCCAAAGTAGCCGGGACACTGGTACCGCTGGCGCTGACAGCCTTCACCCGAACATGGATTTTGTCACCGGAGCCAAGGTCCTGGATTGTGTACCGGGTGGAAAGAAAAGGCTCCTCGTTCACAGCTGTCCAGTCTGTACCTACGACGAACCCGGCAGAGCACTTCAGGTGTGCAATGGACAGACAGACACACACCCCAAACAGCAGGATCAAGCCACAAAGGGTGAAACCCAGAGGCAAAGAACCCCTTCCTTGCAAAGGCTGAATGATTTGGGGCACCAGCAGAAAGGGTATCTTAGAGGGGAGGCTGGCCACCCCGCCCTGCCAAGGAGCGTGGGGTTAGACATGCTGGCAGAAGCTCAACACAGGAGGCTATCTACAAGTAAGAAAAGGCATTAGGCCAGCAAATGTGGTCCCTGCTGACCTTTCAGGTGCATTTCTGGAAGTAGTTAAGATCCTTTGACCACCCTGCCAGCCAGTCTTCTCCTCTTACTGCCCCAGGATAACTCACTGGGGCTCACCACGTTCCCCAGCGCATCAGGCAAGGTCTGCTCATCACCTGCCACCAGCTAGCTAGACCTCTCCAACTGTTCTTCATGCTTGGAAGGGGCATCTCAAACTCATCCCACAGCCAAGACACAGAAGCCCTCCCACATCAGCCAGCTAGCACAGCCCTGCAACGTGCCGAACCGCTTAAGACGTTTCTCAGTTAGAAAACAGACTGCTCCCGTCATCAAAGGACTGGGTATCCCAGGTGGTCAATTAGAGCAATCCACTTGTGCCAGGGTTTGCTAAGCCACCATGTGCACCTTCAAACCAAGAAGGTTTTCCTGTCGATGCCATCAGACCTGCCAAATCCCACCAGTTCCCCTTTCCCTTCACCACTGGCATTACTCAAACCAGCCCTCACTCAAATCTCACCATATTTTAGCCAACAAGGGTCTTGCACCAGCCCGAATACAGCAGTCACGGAGCCCATGTTGTTATCACTGAATGACTAGAGCTCTCCTGTCACCCAGCCAAGCCCAAAGCAAGCTAGGAGAGCATCCAAAACTGTGACCTTTGGGTGGCTGCCAGCCAGCACCCTCCAGGAATGGCTGCATCTTTCCTTGCCCCATGCAAGGGCCTCTTCAGGCATCTCATCCAGCCATGGTTACCTCCCCAGTCTCCAGCCCAATTATGAAACCCACCCACAGCCAACTATGTGTTGATCGTGCCTGCCACAAGCTAAGCAGCCAAGGATCATAGATCAAGTTTCTCAAGGCCCACGTACCTTCTGGGTCTCCCAAACCACTCCAGCCTCATGCAGCACCCAGCCCACCAGCCCTAGCCTCCCCTTGCAGATCCCCCCAGCCACACAGGTCATTCACTCTCACCCCAAAGCCAAGCAAGGCTTCAAGAGAATGCTGAAAACACAAGTCTTATCCACCTACCCCATTCCACCAACCAACAATGCAACCAGAGAACCACAAATAATTGTTGCCCCCCCCCAGCCCACCTCCATCCATCACGGACATCCTCCTTCCAGGCATCTCAAGCCCCATCTTGCTTGGGCAGGGCTTGCCTGCTGATGCATGCCAGCCCCTCTTGTGCTGCCCAGGACCCTTTTCTCCCTCATCCTCACATCTTATCCCCATTCCTTCTGCACTTCCTTTTGGGCAAACATTGGAGAATCACATCTTCTTGCTCCTGAGGTCTTGCATCACCACCCCAAACCCAGGTCTGCACAGAGCTGGAGTTCATCAGAGACCATCCTCAGTGGGTATGCTGGTCTCTCCTCCACCCTCTAGCTGGACACGGCAGTGACATTAAACCTGCCGTGGTCCAGCCCCCCACTAAAGAGATCACTGCTATCTGAAGCCAATGGGAAGACCCTCTCCTCCATGGAAAAAAAATGACCATCTGAAATGAACTCGTTTGGGCAAAGAAAGGGAAATCATGCCCGGGGAAATGTGCTGCTGGGTTCTGCCCAGCTCCATCCCACACCTCCGCAGCAACACACCAGCTCTCCATGCTTACGAGGCAGAAAAGCCCAAGCCTACTTCCATCTTTGCAGATCTCCACCACGTATCCATCCAGGCCTGACTGGCCCGTCTGCTCTGGGGCTTTCCAGGTCAGCGTAACCGAGTTTTCATTCACTCCTTCCACAGCCAAGGACAGGGGGGAGCTGGGCGGCTCTGTAACAAACCCGCAGTTGTGAGGACAGGCTATCGAGTACCGAGGCTGTTGGGGGGCAATCACCCAACCTCCACCTTCAGCCCCCCTCATCCTCCTAAACCCCCAGCCCTATCCCACTCCGAAAATATCCTTGATGACTTCAGCCCTCTGTCCCTTCACCCCAGCACCCCCACATGCTCCCTCCCAGCCTTGCATATCTCCCCTCCCCACTCACATGTCCGGTCCCGTTCTCACCTGCCTTTGGTTTCTCGGGCTTAGGTTCAGGGGTTGGGGCTTGGGGTTCAGCTGGGGGAGGCGGGGGACCTTCTTCGGAGGCTGGAGTCGCTTCTGTCATGGGGATGGGA